TCACCGCCCGTGCGCCCGCCTCGCGCCCGATGCTCCCGCTGCCGACCGCGCTCGCCACCGCACCGTCGCCCCGTGCCGCCAGCTTGCTGTCGCCCGCTGACGCCGATGCCGACTTGTGGCCCAGGCCGCCCAGCGCCCAGCCGACCTCGACGCCGCGGCGCACGCTCCAGAGCCACACGAGGGCGAATACGGGCGTCGAGAGCAGGACGTTCAGGACGGCGAAGAGGTCTAGGTAGCGCGCGGGCGGCGCGACGAGCATCTCGAGCAGGTGCAGCGCTACGCATCCCGCATGCACGATCTGGGGGAGGGGGTGTCCTCCGGTCAGCGCGAGTGCGGGGAGCAGAGGGAGGGAGGGGAGGGGGGCGAGGACGTACGAGCGATATGCGTTCGAGGGCCGTCCGCGGGCGCGTGCGGAACGGGTTGTAGCCCACGACGCGGTTCCACAGCAGCGTCAGCGCGACATACGCGAGGCCCTGTCCGTCGCGCTTGAGGAGCGGCCACATGCTGTGCGTCTCGGGGGTCAGCGCGCGTCCGCCGCACACCGCGTACGCGACACGCACCTGAACGCGGCGACGTTGCTCGTGAGCATGCCGAGCTCGAGCGTCGCGGAGCCGTCGCCGGACCCGGAGAGGAGCAGCGTCACAGGCAGCAGCGGGAGGAGGACCGTCTTTTCGTGCACCTGGAACGAGAAGAGGAAGAACGACATGGACGACGTCAGCAACGCGTACGGGAGCAGCGCGAGCGTCGGCGCAGGCTCCCGCGCCGCTGTGCTGCTGGTGCCGACCTTCTCGCCCTCCCTCTCGCTCTTGCCCTCCCCCACACTCCCTTCTGTCGGACTGGCCGGAAGGCGCAGCTTCCATCCACCGTAGACGAGCCCGGCGGCTCCCGGGAGGAAACCAAGCGCAGTCAAGCATGTTGCCAGGCGCACCAACGCTTTCGGACCTAGTCGCCTGCGCCACTTGAGCAGCACGTCGCTCGCACACCAGAAGTTTGCGACTTTATCCTCGAACAGGCCGCGGTTAAAGGGGAATATGCGCGTGATGGGGTCCAGTATTGCTGACGGAGTTGCAAAAGGTGGGAGGAACGGCAGGAAGAGCAGAAGCACGGTAAACGACGTAGCAATGGCGAGTCTGATGAAGTGCTTGGGGCTGGTCAGAATAGACTGGGTTAGTTTGTTTTCGAGCTAGCAGCCGAGAGAAACGAGACGAACCCATAGGTAGGCCCGAGATATAAGCACTTTCCAAGCAGGTACGATCCGATTGCAGGCGCATAATAGAGCGCCATTTGTTTGAAGCCTAAGCTGAGAACGAAACAGATTGCACCTAAAATGTCTCGGCCCATTGCAAAGCAGGTCATCGCAGCCAATGTCAAACCTAGATCATTGCACATTGAGCTGCTCTGCCTTTATTGTTCAAAGATGGAAGCTGAGCGTCGACGCACCAAGCATGACAGAGTTATATTGGAAATGGCCGAAATCAATCAAGAGCAGTGTAGGTTGCAAGAGAAGTGTGAGAAGTGCAGTTTCCTACAAAACGTTAAGCGAGGAACTTGCAGTAGATCCAAACGTATTACCCGTGTTCTTAATGACCGATTTCCATGCCATGTGCGCACGAACAACATTAGAGCAGGAACATATACTAGGGTGTCAAGGATGAGCACCGTCGTCCTCATGAATGTCTTACTACTAGGGTTCTCGATCCCGCGCGACGTTTCTAACGCGAACCACGTTGGGTCGATCCAGGATCCTCTGTGGCCACAGACATAAGACATAACACGACGCTAGCAATGCGAATTTGTGTAACGCACATTATGCCACATAGCCAAGACACATAAGCCGTCAGAGGCGGGTAGTCAAGCCCCCAGTACTGTAGATCGTACGTGTACCATTCGCGCGGGGGCAGGTGTATGGTCAGCTCCATCCAATGGCGCTGCGCCTCATAGTCGCCGAACATGGGGGATGTACCCTGTCCTAAGCAGCGCGTCCACTGAGCCTGGAGACACACAGAGACTGGCTGCATGGAATGCACTGACCAGAGTACGAGCCAAGCCCGACGGCCCACTTGACCCACACGGCACCAAGGACGGCACAGGGCACGACCCAGCGCTTGGCGGAGTGCTTGTGCATCCAGCGCACCCACCGCTTGCCCATGCCGCCGCCACGGTCGCCGTCGTGCCTGCGGTCGGAATGCAGCGCGTGGGCGATGCGCGGGGAGGCAGAATGTTCTATGAGCGAGCTGAAGGCAAGCTGGCTGAGACGCCGCCGCGCGGATACGGGCGATGTTGTGCCGTTGGGTGGGAGAGCGAACGGGGAGACTGGGCGGGAGGACGAGGCGGAGAGCGTCGGGGAGCCGAGCCAGTGCAGGCTCTCTGAGGCTTGGAGGTGGTGGTGGCGAAGGGGGATGGGGGCCAAAATCTCTGGCTCTGAGCTGAAACTCGACGTTATTTGTCTGAAGCAGAAGTTATGCAGACACGAACCCGTTAGTGCCAATGCTTGTGGCCGAGATTCGGGAATACGAGGATGGGGGGTTCAGTCGCAAGGAGCGAGAGGAAGATGCGGAGGGTTGGGAGGAGAAGGAACGTGAATTTTTCCTGTGGTGGCGAGGGGAAGAGGGAGACGGTGCTGAAGACTCGTCCATCGCTGTGCTCGCTGCAGTCGACGTCGTGGAGGCCAGCGTGCGAGGTCGAGTGTGCCGACAAGGCGCTGCAGCCGCAACGTGATCTTGGGCGCTCACCATCGCGCACGGGTTCGATCCTCGATCGCGCACTTCATTCGACTCCTAATCGCAATTACTTTCACTCCCACTACTAACAACTTGAATAACCCCGCACAACCATCACCGTCGCATTGACATGGGTATGATGCTACCCTCACAGGACACTCCTGCAGAGCAAGTGCGCGCCCTCATGATCCGCAAAGAGAACATCGAGGCAGAGCTCGACGCTCAGGCCTCCATTCTCAAAGCCAACGGGTCCACTCTCAGCTCCTCCCTCCTCGACGCCGAGGGATTCCCCCGCTCGGACATAGACGTCTGGGCCGTCCGCCATGCGCGTGTGCGCATCATCGAGCTGCGGAATGACCTGTCTGCGGTCAGGGACAAGATCCTGACCGGCCTGCAGGGTGTGTACGACCCAGGAGACGCAGGTGCGCCCGGGCACAGCGGCGAGTCTACGGTGCACGACGCCTCCCCATCCGCTGCGTCTGCGTCATCTGCAGCAGAAGTATCGTTGCAGCCGTTTGCAAAGGTAAACGGAGTTGCGCCCGGCAGTCCGGCAGCAGCGGCCGTACGTTATCCTCATCCAAATTGTACTGCGAACAACTTGCGCTTACAACTCGATCCAGGGGCTCCTAAGAGAAGACCTTGTACTCTCCTTTGGCCCGCTGACGCATTCTTCGTTCTCATCCACACTCCAGCCACTTGTAGAGTATGTAGCGGGGCATGAAAACGTAAGTGTTATGCTGTCCGACACTTCACATGGTTTCTGTGTCCTGCACTGGAAAGACATTCCATGCCTGGGGGTACACCTTCAAAAGGCGTGGATATCAAGACATTTTACTTTTGTTTCTTGAGCTTCTCCGACAGCTATGTACCGTGTGCTACGCTGCTAACACCCCGGCTTGTCAGTGCGAAATCGCGGTGAAAATTCTGCGTGAACCGGATCTGAAACTCACTCTCAGTTTCACGCCAAGGAGTGGATGGGGAGGTCGCGGTCTATTAGGGTGCGCACACCTCTGTTTCTACTTGTGCGCGATCTCACTTGTCTCGTTAGATGCCACATTGTACCATATATTCCAAGTTAGCATGCGGTAGAATGTACCTTAAGGTTAAGAAGTCAGAGCGCATACAGTGTATAGTATCACCCGGAATGTACCATTCGTCGCGGATTGTAATCACACTGACGGTAAACAATCACGCATCTTCTCAGCAAATAGGTACGACCAATAGATTTGATCCGCCGCATTAACTTAACTCTACTTCGATTCACTCAATACTTTATCGCGACCTGAATCCGAGCAGAGATGTACAAGCGCCCCGACACCCTTGGTGGAAGAGGCATCGCAGCACGCCTGCCATGATAATCATACAACAAGAGTAGGAACGCCAGTATGGGCACATGTGGTATATGTATATCAACATCGAACCGGCCACCAAACTTGTAGATAAATGAGGCATAAATGCAAAAATATACGTATATCCAGGAAGTACGAGATATTCACACATTGTGTAATCCCAAGGAATCATGGAGCAGGGTTTGAGCAAGGGATAGGAGAATCCAACAGGTTACCTTCGATTATTTGATGCCCAAGGCGTTCAGCGTCTTGACATTGCGGTGTCCGCCTACCGACTAGACTTTGACGGTCCTCTGCGCAGGCAATTTCTTGGCCTTGGTGGTTGAAACAGCAGGCGTAGCCGCATTCGCCATCTTCGCCGCCCGCAATAATGCGCTCTTGTTGGTCCTAGGCGTGATAGCAGGCGGCGGGGCGCTAGGCCGGGGCTTGGACTTGGAGGGCGTGGAAACACCGTTGGTAGCAGACGGGACAATCCCAGCTGAAGTAGATGGACGGGAGGGGCCGCTACTCATCGTAGACCCAGATGTAACTCGCGAGGGGATAGGGCGTGAGGCAGGTGTCTGTACGGCGGCAGCAGATGCGGGGCGAGACAGAGAGACACGCGACGAGGTGGGCTGGTTATAAGAGTTACGAGAGGAGGATCGCGAGGAAGGCTGGTTGGAGGGAGTGCGGACTGACGTGAACATGAGCCACAAATGAGCTTCGGTCCTAAAATTGTGATGATGAGACTCACACATGAACGACGAAGGAGGTGCAGCATCCTTAATCTGACGCAAACTCGCGCTTCTATTTGACCTTGGAACTACCGACGGTGGTCTTGTACTAGCCACCGAAATGGTCTCACGCCGTTTATGCCCAGGCACGCCGTCGAAGGTTGCCTTGTTTTCGTCCCTCTTCGCATCAGCCGAAGGTATTATACTCTTCCTGGGCTTTTCGGCGGGCTTCAGTCCTAGTCGGAGCGACGCCGCGCGCGTCATGCGGGGGGCAACAACCGGTGGTGCAGTGCTAGCTACCGTAATCGTCTCGGAACGTTTATGACCTGGTACGTTCTCAAACGTCTTCGCGAGCCGCTCTTTACTGGGAGGTACGCGTTGCGGCTTCTCCACTGGGAGACCTGCGCGCAATGCCGCCGCCCGTGACATCCGAGGTACAATATCGGGCGCCACATGCGTAGAAGGGAGAGGACGTGCTTTGAAGGGTGATTTCCCATTGGATGGAGTGGAGCTGTGGTTGTCCACGCTTGATGTGCTTTTGCGCAAGGCTGAAAGTACAGAAGACGAGACCGACCGCATTGAGCCAGTCGTATAGCCATGTCCATTGAGACCGACATCTGGCAATTCGGTTGTGGGGAACGGAGGAGAGGACGCGAAGATTGCCGATATCTGAAAATCTGCGATCTGCACGTCAGGGGATCCCATAACTGCATTTTGGTGCGCGGATATTCCGTACAGCGCGCGGAGCGAGTGCGGTGCCTGCGAGCGCGCAACTGCCGGATCCGGATGGCCCATTAGAGTCGCCCAAACTTCAACTGCACGCCTTCTCTCGAGGACGTAAACCCACACGGGGCCCCTGAACAAAAGAGATCGATCGTATATGAGATTCGCTTCATTTTGCTTACACACTTCGCTTGCATGAATGATGCATGACTTACTCGGCAAAACACTCGTAGTCTTCTCCGAAGAGTTCATACATTGTCTCAGGGTCAGTGTCGATATCGAATTCCATCTGCCGTTCCTTTACGATCTGCAAGGGAGAAGTGTGAATGTTCCAGGCTTAATTTAGTCCCGGAGCACGCCAAACCTCAAATCCTGCCTCCGTGATGCGCTGTTCAATATCGAAGCGGTTATTCAGGGCATGCGGCTTGATGATCGCAACGGTCCGAGTAGGGAGGGAAAGCGAAGTAGAAGTCGGAATAGGAGTAGAAGGAGCATCAAACTCCTCGGGCTCAGCCTGAGGCTCGGGGAACTGGTTACCGTGGAGAGGTGAACCCCGGAGAGAATTTGCAGGAGAAGAGACGGAACCCATAGTGTCAGACATTGCGGGAGGAAAGCGAGGAAAGAGCACAAGAAGGAAAGAGTGCAAATGAGGCTGACTGAGCAGACCGGGGGCAGATAACTATTGACAGAAGCCAGAAAGTTGTGCTCAGCAGGAGAAGAGGGCCAAAACAGAACAGCAAAAATAAATCCGAGGAATGAAAGCGAGCAGAAGAGCCTCAGGCCAGTGCAGAACGCGCAAAGTTGGCGGGGAGGATTCGAGTTGGTTGAAAGACACGGCTGCTCTTGTTCTGTCAGATATCTGCCAACAACCGTGTCTGGACCCTGGACACCACCCCGCTCAGGCTTTACTTAACAACTTTGTTCTCCATAAACTCCCATTTGGTCAAGGTCGATGGTTATGCATTCATGCATCGCTGCTTGTTCGGCAGGGGAAAGCAATTAGCCTGAGCAACGACAGTCCGCAACAAGCCAGTAGGATGGTTGCGGCGCTCGTCCCCATCGGGGTCCTGGCAGTATGTGTGTATTCCGTGGAAAATCAATCTATTCACCTGTAGGCCATCTCAGAATCATTCAGAATAGCACCGACTTCGTGATACTGATTTCATTTTACAAGTACAGGTGGATTCGAACTGAGTGGTGTTACGTTCGCTTTTTGATCGCTCTCAAATTGCTCTTGAACTACTTTATCCAACCACTTTACCATCAACGATCTGGGCAGTCTCGAAGATACGGATCGCTTCGTGGGCAGCTTTGACACCGCTGGCCATCATCGCACCGAAGGTAGGGCCCATCCGGTTTGAGCCGTCATGTTCTGACAGTTCCATACCTGCAAAAAGCTCAAAATGAGCCCCAGAATGGTTAACAGTATAAATTAACGCACCGGTCATGATCAACCCAGGTGCGACCTCACGGGTGCCATTGACAATGGCGGGCTCTGCCCTGTTCATATCCAAGCCGCGCATGTTACCGAGCTCCTTCAGCAGACCCATGCTCACAAGCCGCTTGGCAGAGAAAGCACCCATAGGTCCGTCATGTCCCGTCGCAGTAATGATCACAGGGGCAGTGATCACGTTAGGGTCCATGCACGACTGTGTGTCATGGTTAAGCGCAACTAGCGTCCAGTTCGTGACGACGCCCGCAACGCGCTGACGGCCCGCAAAGTCCTCGCGAACAATGAGGTCCTCGACGGCAGTCGCGTTCATGAGCACGACATTCGGCATGGAAAGTACACGAGAGAGGATTGTGGAAGTGAACAGAGCGGCGTGTTTAACGACGACAAATGCACCCTCGTCTTCGAAGGGGACGCCAATTTCCGTCAGAAAGCGGTCAGCAGGCTTGCGGACAACCTGCAAATAGGTGAGTGGAAAGGAAAATCCGCTAAATCATACTTCAATACATACCATAGGTGTCATCAATTGGCCACCAAGCCATGCGCCACCGCCTCATGAAACTTTCAGTCTACGCATACTTTCAAATTTTTAAATTTGCTCACCAGGGGCGACGCCCGCCTCAATAATCGTGACTTTCAAGTCAGGTCGCGACTTCGCGAGGTGGTACGCACAGGAGAGCCCTGCACTTCCCGCGCCGATAATCACAACGTCCGACACAGCGCGTTCGTACATCATGTTGAAGTATCTTTCGACAGTCCGACATGAGAACATGCTCTATCCAAGAGTAACTAGAAATCGCGCGCACCGCTTGATCATAGCCCTGGAGACTTGCGCCTCCTCAATGGGAGCGAATTGGTACTTGCCCTCATAGTTCTCCGAAACTTCGTAAGATCCCTTGTTCACAGGCGTGCCGTTTGCCTTCGAAAACTTGGACAGGAAAATCGCCTCGTCGGTGGGCTGGGGAAGGGTAGCTGCGGGCGGTGCCATGGCGTCAATGCGAAGAGCAGTTCTCGATACTAGGTCAAGAGCTGGGCTTTATAAGCCTGCAGGGAGCATGGGATCCTATTTCGAAGATTGGCTACTCCAAAACCCCTGTATCATCCATCGGATGGGAACCTAGAACCAAAGCGGCCGAGTCCATATCGCGGATGTCCGTCATACCGTCATAACTATCACCCTTGCTGAGCTTACTTAACTCCATATAATCTAGTCCTCTCCGAGGAACGTGCTACGATATTACTGTGCTTCTCGAATTCAACTTTCTAAAGAACATGAAGATTTAATTAGATCCCGTTCGGTGTGCCCCACCGTTATCAAATCTGAAATGATCGAGGATCACATAGGCAATCTAGCGAACAAGTCAGCCATACACTTAGGTATGGCACACTGCGAGTTACACGCAAAATTCGTGGGGTTGAGCTCAAACAATCCAGCGAGTGGTGCCAGATGCACAGTGTCGGTCCGGCCAAGATACTTGGGCACATCTCTGGGCCGGACCAAGCATAATCACTATCTATATTCCGTCGACCGGGTTCAGAAAGGGTGAGAAAGTCCCCAAATCTGCATTGGATTGTACGTGCTCGTAAAATAGCATCTTCAGTAGCCCCGCCACAACGGAGTCGGCACGCTGTGTAGAGTTATCAACAACAAATACCATTTCCATCGACCACATGCACGGAATGAATTCGAAGATGGCAGAACGACGTAGTGATTCCCAGGTCGACAGTTTGAATTCGATGATGACCGATAGCATGAGAGCTTAGAGTTAGCGGCCGAGCATATCGTCATGGCATATGTCACAAGTTCGAGTATGAGAGGACCTGCGTTGGAAACGTGTGAGAAGATGTGCACAACGTTCTCTTGAATCCACGAAACTACGTGCGGGAATCAAGAAATGTTCGCACCGAGCTTGGGACCATTGGTCGCACTCCAGACAACATCCCCACCAACCGGCCACTTGAGTCGCACTCTGGAGTCTAGCTAGTCCATGATGACTCGAATGCACCAAGACGGACTTCACCGAGACCATGTGGGCACGAGAGCGTTCAAAAGCGAAGTACCCGGAGTGGGCGCATACTGGCAACCCGCACAGCAGCGAGCACCCCGGCACGATAGCAAGCCATAGAAAGGGTCTGTGGCAGCCAAAACAGCCTCTACTCCTGTCCTCTCCCCACAATCATGACGACTACTCAGCAGAACTTCACACTCACCGGAGACCCACTCTCGCTGGACAGAATTCGGTCGATTCTGATACGTCTCGAGGACACCATCATCTTTTCGCTCATAGAGCGCGCCCAGTTCGCGCACAACCCCAAGGTCTATCGTCGCGGGGAGTTCCAGGAGTTGCAGGCGGCAGGCTTCACCGGCAGCTGGCTCGAATGGTTCCTGAAAGAAATCGAGTCATTCCATGGTATGTACTCTAGACATGGTGACAGTTGATGTTGAGTTTCTGAGCCAACAATCCTAGCCAAGGCGCGACGATACACTAGGTGAACCTGGTCGTCCATCTTCAACTTCTTAATATCCACTAACCACAGCCCACCAGCCCGGATGAATATCCTTTCACAAACCCAGCCGAACTCCCGGATCCCATCCTCACAGGTATCGAGTTTCCTCAGATACTGTACCCCAACAAAATCAATGTCAACCCCTCCATCCTGAGTTTCTACACACGCTCCATCGTCCCGCGCATCACCCAACAGGCAACTTTGACCTTGTCTGCCGCAAAACGTGCCAACGGCATCATAGGTGATGATGAGTACGAAGATGATGGGAACTACGGCAGCGCCTCGGTGATCGACGTCGAAGTGCTCCAAGCAATCAGCAAGCGAGTGCACTACGGTTCGTGTGTACTATGAGCTCTACCGAGTGTTGCGCTTACGGTCGGTTGGACTTCAGGCAAGTTTGTGTCCGAGTCCAAGTTCAGAGACCATCCAGCCGCATTCATTCCCCACATCCTCAACCCCAACCGTGCAGCACTCGATGCGCTAATCACGAAGCCCGAGGTTGAACTGAAGCTGCTCCAGCGACTGCGCAAAAAGGCTGAGCTGTATGCGCTCAACTTTGCTCCGGACGGGCAGCCCATCAACGATGTGTCAATGCGAAAGATCGACGTTGACGGTGTGGTGGAGTTGTACGAGCACTACATCATCCCGCTCACCAAAGAAGTAGAGGTGAGCTTCACAGTAGCACAGCAGCTTGAATCTCCAGCCTGACTCTCGAATAGGTGGATTATTTGCTAGCTCGCCTGGAAGGCATGTCGCAAGAGCAAATAGATAGCTTGATGACGAGCAAAAAGTCTTGATAGAGCATTCCTCTGGTTGGTTGGCTCCTCACCTGTGACATAGAATTGACAGCATCTCATCTGCTGCGCTTGTAATCCGTGGTAACTGTAACGATAGTAATGTATCTGGAATTTGTTCAAATTTGCTTTGAATCAAGTACGGACGGAATAAAGAAAAGAGAAATCTGCAGAGATCAGCAGCAACGATGCCTAGGCCCAATCGAGTTACAGTAGCTGCGCATGAAGTTAACGTAACACAGCACAAACATAGATGAAAACATAATGTAGGTATACAGGAAGCTAAGAATAAATAACTCAGCTCAACATATCCAACCTCCAATGGTAAGTGCGGGTAAATGAGACGGAAATGAGTGCCACCGTGGTATCAGAATCCTAGATCTAAGCACGAGGTGTCAGTGTTCACATGAGCCAGCAGTAGTGGTAATGCAACGCACCTGCCAGAAGCTTGCGGGTCTCCACTTCGGAGATGTTGCGAGTGGCACGTCGTGCCAACAGTTTTTCCGTCCTGAACTTCTCGTAGAGAACTTCCCTAGTGCGGATTTTGAGCATCTGTGAAGGGCATCCAGGTCAATTTGACCCAAATTGCGACTCGAGAGTAGCCAATACGCACCTTCATGTGAGTGGACAGAACAGCAGTGCGCATAGCAGCAAAGTCGCAGTGTTCAGGATTGAGCACGTCCACGGTTCCCCATCTGAACTTGCGGATAAATACCCCTTTCAAATCAGCCGGCGGGCCGGCCAAATAAGAAAAATGGCGCCCAGAAGCTGGGGTGGTGGGTGTAGCAGGAGTGGTGCATCTAGACTCGATAGCAGAGTTCGCGTGACCATCGTCCGAAGGCGCAGTCGACCGCAGTGGCTCATGCATGGAATGGCGGTCGTGGGCCGACACGGAGGGTTTCAGAGGTCGCCTCCGCCGTACTTCCTCCGGACTGATAAGAGCGAACGGCATGCTTTCGCTGAGGTCTGTCTTCGACACGACATCCGCCGAGAAGCGTACACTGGCCACACTCTCCGCATCCGTCGTGTCCGGCTCGGCCTGTTCGTTCGCAGCCAGTTCAGAAAGACTCATGCGGGACCTCGAGCGGGAAGAACGGCGTGCAAAGGGGAGTCGCGGAGCACGTAGCTTGATCACTGGACGGGAACGGCGTTCTTCTACGGGGGCCTCCTCTTCAGAATCGCTCGCATCTCGGCGCTCCGTCTCACTCTGGCGTGCGTCAGGTTTCGCTTCCGCCCCGGGTTCTTCTTTCACTGGGCCAAAGACACCGAAATCAAGCCCTGCGGTACGCAGGTCGCGACGCACTACGCGTTTCATCTCCGCCAGGGTATCGTCTGTCAGCGAGTCCGCTCGAGAAAGAACCGGGAGAACGTTCGTGCGCGTCATCAACCGGCGCAAGACGTTAATATCACCGGAAGACATTTTCAACTCGCCGGCAGATTCGTCTTCTGTGTCATCCGATGTGGCGTCGTCGGAAAAGGACGATAGGTCGGGGGGATGGTGGACTGTGGCATCCGAACGCGTTTTGGCGGGGAGCGAGGATAGTGCGCGCCGCAGGGAGGCACTCATGATCGATTTGGGATCAATCATATAGATGCATCTGATGATAATACATGAGCCACAATGACGGGACGCGCGAGAGGTAACCCAGCTCACAAATGAACGTGTTGGTCGCCCTTGCTCTGCCGCATGACTTTGGATTCCTGGAAAAAGAGGTTAGCATCTCGATGGTGATTGCGCCACCGGAAGGGCGTCCGGACACAAGGTGATGGAAGCGCAGCAATGGTAAGATGAGAAGTCGGGGGCGATGATGCGCTGTCTCCGTGAAGCGAGGAGTCATGATGCAAGACATACCTCGCTCAGAGTGTCTGTGAATTGTGAGTCCAAGTATTTCATGACAGATCCAACCTGCCGCTCCAGCTTCAGCTCGTGGCCCTCTTGAAAATCCAAGCCCGGCGTGTCGATCACGGACAACAAGACGCGGTCATACTTCGACTCGCATATCTCGAGACACACCGACTGGATGGCGTCAGTGCGCTTCGGCGTTCCGTGTAGGAAACTGCCCATCGTGGCCCTCTGTTCGGGGGAGGCAGTGGGTGATATGTCGGCTGTGTCCAGGAGCAAGCGCAGTAGAGACGTCTTCCCCGTTCCCTGGCCGCCGACAACCTGTGGACCAAGTGTAACTAGAGCCGGGCGGCAGATGAGAAGCGGGCCACGCACCATGATGTTGAAGGTCGTTGGGGCCCTCGCCTTGCGTTGGCTGATCCGTGCGCGCGCATGGGCGGGTTGCTTACGCGTTTCGAATGCCGAGGGCGGGGGCGGGGGCAGCGTCTGGCTTGATACGTACAGCGAGGAGATCCTCCCACTGGTCGATTTGCCTGGAGACGACCAAGGTTTGTGGAATGCAATAGGACCTTCGCCTTGGGCGGAAAAAAGAGTTTTTGCCGCACCTTGTGGACGAGGCTGAGGGGCATCAGCCTGTGGTAACGAAGACAGATCCACCAGGTTCGATGGCCATGGAATTCCCTGCGCTGAGAGCTCTGGCAGGGAAGGGGAAGCACGGATTAGTGGGGCGCCGTTTGCGGGCGTGTCTGTTTTGCGCGGCTTGCGGCGGAAAGAAAACATGTCGGCGAGTTCGATGCAAAGAACGACGGGGATGAAGGAAAGTGCGGGCGAGGCTCCTCCGAAACGACCAGCGCAAAGAGGGAACGAGCGCGCCGATAGTACAAAGGATGCTGGGCGCCTACGTGGCTGGGTGGGGACGAATTCATACAGGCGCTAAGTGCCGCCGTCTGCCGAGGACGAGCTCCTTTCCAACAGACAGTCAAGTCGGTGGCAATATATACTATAGTACACTCCCCACGCAACACACATCAGCGACAGTGCGGAAATACCCAAGCAAAGCAGCAGAAAAACAGATCGCGCGATACAAATCAATCCGTCTCGAGAAACTCTACAATGGTCCAGGAACACAACCAGCCGCTCCGCTCACGGCTGGGCAACAGCCAAGGCCGACCGGCCACTTTCCGCAGCCGCCATCCGCATTTTCTTCGCCGGCTGGCCCGAGTGGTCAGCAGTACCGCTGTCCACTGCACTAATGCGGCGCGTGTAGCCGTTCGTCGGCTCCGGGGCACCAGACGAGGGGAACTGCAGTTGGATAGACGGCGATGAGCGCGTGGACGTCGATGCTGACTGTCCTGCCGGTGTCGCACCGGAGCCTCTCCCACGGGCTCTGCTTGTATTGGGGTCGTTGACGTAGTTGCACGCCAGTGATCGCCGAGAGCAACTTCCGCACGACGGATGTGCGCCGTCGCATCTTGTCTTGCGAGCTACGCAGGCAACCGCACGCATTAGCTGCACGGCAGGGCTTGTACGTGTACAGAACATACCTCTGCATACGTTGCAGGCTACAATTTTGGACCCGTGGTTGGTGCGACCCTTTCCGGGCGCAGTAGAGGCATTGCGCCTCCGCTGCGTTTGGATCATATGACCCTGGTCCGGTTTGGCCGAAGATCGTGTTGCCGTCTCCTCACGGGGAACATTTGCAGGAGACGCGGACAGAGTGACGATGGGCGGAAGCTCCGGGCGAGGCTCGGGCAGCGGAACTGCCATCGTAGCTTGGGCAATCGAGGGGAGGACATTGGACGTATCCTCCGGCCGGTCCATAGCGGTGCCCAATGGTGGCAAGTTCTCCGTGAGGAGCATACTGACACTCGAGTTTCGCCGGGAGCGACCCCGCGACAAAACCTCCGGCGATTCTGATGGGTTCTCCAATTCAACGGATTGGTCTTCCATGCTCTCGCCCTCGCTCTCACTGTCGCCGAACTGTTTCCGCGATTTGCCACGACGGCGCTTGGTGCTGGCCATGTAGTCGCACGGGTTAGACCGCTTGTGGCATTGGCTGCACGCGGGTCTGCCCCCATCGCACTTGAGTTTTCGAGCTGGAAACGAAAGCGTGAACAGGACATCTCGAAGACAACAATGGACTTACATCGACAAAAGTTGCATGCAACGGTTATCTTTTTCGTTCGCGAACGCTGAGATCCTATGAGTAGAAACGTTTGTCAGCGAAGATGTTCTTGGGTAGCCCCTAGAACCACAAGAGATCGGACGCGACGCCATGACAACCTCCCAACGATGTTCAAAAATAAGATGAGACTGACTCGAGGATGTTGCGGTTCTAGGCGAAGATTCAGACACCGCCGGAGGTGGCTGAGGAGACACAGCAGAAGGTGCAGCATCACCGTTCGGGGCGATCCCAGCACGAGGAGCCGGTTGCGGCGGTGGCTGCCGCTTGCTTGTCGCGTGTGTAGGCGTAGTATCTATGGCAAGAATGGGACGCGAGGAATGAGGAAACTGAGGAGGTGGGGGCGCGGAATTGGACGGTTGTGCAGCCCGCGTCGGCATGGGGTGAGGGGGCTGCATTTCGTTCCTGAACTTTTGGAAGAGATATTCTTTGGTGTATTTTTGAAGAGTCTATTCGCAGAGGTAGAACCAGTAAAAGGGGTGTTAGTAGACTCCACATGTGGACGTTGCCACAAAGGAACGGGTCACTGTACCTGCATATGGTGAAATATAGCCCCACGAAGATGTATAAAGTCACAATGATTCACGTCCATGACATCGAGAAATCCCCATCTATAGCTCCGTATGAACTTGCCCGGGATGATTTTAGTAAGTGGCTGCTTGAGTTTAGGATGTTGTTGCAAAGGAGTGTATTGAAGCGCAAGCTCGTGTCGGGACGGTGCCACTCTCGAGACTCCGTCGCTATGAGAATAAATATCTGGTGATATCAAAGCGAACGGAAGCCGTAGGAACGACGGCGACACGGGAGGCGACGGGGGCGAAGCCGCGGTGGAGGATACGCCATTGGCGTGTTTGTAGCCGTTGGGAGGCTCGGACACGCGCGCGGGAGGGGTCAATTCTACTGTATCTCGCTGGGAGTACTGGGGGAAAGAGTCCACATCAAATATACCAAAACCAATACCAGCTTCAGCTAGGTCTCTCCGGATCGCGAGCTTTACGGCAGCGAGGCGGTCGTTTGACAAGACGTCTGCTCGGGCGACGACGGGAAGGACATTGACGCGCGCGGAAAGGCGTCGGATGGTGGCAATGTCTGCTGCGGGGAGCGTAGGGCGACAAAGGAGCGGGTTTGTCGTGACCGGAGGCTCGAGGATGACGGGCTCGGCATCAGGAGCGGAAAGGCTGTTGGCCCGGGCCCTTGATACCAAGGGAACGGGTGGTGCCGATACTGACGGGGGGACTATGCACTCTGGGTCGAGAAAGTAGATGCACCTGCCGGCAAGCACGTTAGAACATCAGATGGTATCATGCCTATCTTGGACGACCGTATTAGGCACTTACAGGTGGACGTGGTGGTCTCCCGTGCGGGCTTTGCGGTCCTGGAAAAGAGAACGGGATGGACAATACGACAGGGGCGACACGGAGGAGAGGCACTTACGTCCTCGATGCTCTCGGCGAAGCGGGCGTCGACATGGCGGAGGATGTCGTCGACGGCGCGCTGGGCGGCGGGGTCGTCGTCGTAGTCTAAGGAGGGGGTGTCGATGAGGGTGAGGTTGAGGAGGTGGGGCTCGTCGGGGTCTGCGGGTGCCAGGTCAACGGCGACGGAGACGGAGCGCACGTGTGAGGTGTGGCCGCTGCAGCCCTGGACGAACTTTGCGACGGAGACGAGCTGGTCCCTGGAGACGGAGGGGGCGACGAGGGAGGTGTCGAGGAGAAGCCTGAGGAAAGAGGTCTTGCCCGTGCGACGGCCGGCGACCATGAGGGTGTACCCGGGGAGGTCGCCGTCGGGGGGGCT